CAAAAGTATAAGACTTGTGTCGCAACAGGTAAATTTATCCAAAACGTGAGTAATCTTGATTGGATGTTCATAAGACTACACGTGTACGTGTGTACCGACTCCAATTGTTCTTTATGTCTATTTCATTTGGCTGATTAAGCCCTTAGAGTTATCTATCCTTCAAAACAAGATTCACAAGTTTGGTTTAGGCTCCTCTGCCTCACTAGGTAATAAACCTTCTTTAACCAATCTTTAAATCTCATTTTGATTGATTACAACCCAAAAATAGACATTAAAAATACAATGAGTCAGGAATAACAAATTTTCTCTTAACATTCAATCTAGAAGATGCAACATTAGTTTCTACATCCTGCAAATCTTAAGAGCTTGTGATTATAGTATATTAACCATCTTTCAATGCACCAGAAGCAATCACATATCTATTCAATTTTATAAAACCAGTTTTACAAAATAACGATCTAGTTTTTATAAGCCAAAAGTGAAATAAGAATGAGATTGCGTTTCACTTCTGTGCATAAAGATAGTTCTCTAATACTAATATCCTCATACTCTCTAATTTCAGATGTAATACTCCCACTGACTTAACTACAACCTTGGCATCAGGTCAAAAGATAAATATATACTCATATCATCAAGGCTTCTGGATTCCTGAAATCCTTACAATAAATTGCAAACATGTTTAGTGGCTCCAGAATCTATCCATCAGGAATCAATAGATACAACCACATAACATGGCTCAATGATTAAATATATATTTTCCTATGCCACGTCATTGCTTAGACAGTTTGTCCTTTAGTGTCTTAGTTAACGGCAAAAGAAACAGTTTCATTCGCCCTCCACATACACTGCCTTATTCCCTTTAACCTTTTAGATACCTATGTTTTGTGCTAGCCTAGTCCCATTATCATCCTTCTTCTTTGCTTTGCCCATCCACTTGGGCCTAGAAGAAGATGGTATAGACTAGGTTAGATTGATAGGAACGCCCATACTCTTGATTATCCCTTCATCTGTTACCAATTCTATAAGAATATCAGCGAGTGTGAACTCAAACTGATTCTTTATTTAATTCACTCTAACAGAGTCGAATGAGTTTGGTAACAAGGCAATAATCATGTCAACTTGAAACTTACCACCCAAGTCAGCCTTATTGATCTCCAGCTAATTTTTAAATAATAAACAATCATTTTCCAAAATTCGATTTCATACTGGAGTTCCTTAGGCTATCTTGATGCTATTTAAGTCTGACACAGTACTTAGGCATATGCTCTATCTAATCTCACCAAAATATCTCATTGACATTTAATATGATGCTTGAAGAAAATAAAATAATACAAATGTTGGCTTTGGAGTATATTCGAGCTAAACTCTAGAATATTGCACCAAGTCATATCATTTGCCTTATCTAATTTATTAAAAGCATTAATGTCAAATTTGGTATCTCAAAGTAAAAGAGATAGGTATAGGAGTAATAAACACATTTTGTACCCTTACGTTGTGAATAAAATATCTAAGTTCATTTTCCAGTCATTATAAATAAGGTCCAATATCATAGAATATGTAAGCAAGTAGATAAACTGGATTAGACATAATTAATCTGAATATAAATGCATTCATACAATATGCAAGGTGAATTATTAATTCTGTCATGCATATTTAAAATTAAAATGAGTTTGTTAACCACATAATATAATAAATCTCAATCGAACAAGAGATCATTATCATTATTGGTGAACAATCCCTTTTAATTAATGCGGGTCCCTCAACTCTGTAGCATAATAAATCAACCAATCAATATGTCAATAACTTATCCTGTTGGAGGAGTTCATTATTACTATTGTTGAGATTCATTTACTATTAGGTGAGCACTTCCATTAAAATAGTATGTGGGTCCCTTAACCACTGCATGAAAAATCGGATAACCAATACACCAATAACTTATTCGGTTGGCGAAGTTCATTATTGCTATTGGCGGGCAAATCCCATCATCTCCATATCTCTTAAGACAATGCCTTGTCTATCTATATGAAATGACTCCCGATTATGTTTAGCCTTTCTAAAATCACCTAGTGTAGACCACTCCGTTGGGGAGTTAACACTATTGATTTTAGATTGAGTGTATAACATTATTAATGCTCTAATGAAAAATAAAACATTAAATATGTTGTCATTATAATCTAGACTCTTTAAATCATGCGTAGGGCCTTATTTTTAAAGATCTAATTACAATGAACATTTAATATTTTTATTTTCATGAGACAACCATTCTTGTAATATTAAGACTCTTCAAATCATGCGTGGGGCCTTATTTTTGAAGATCTAATTACAATGGTTTTAATAACGAAGGCCATGGGGCAATGTATAAAAATCCCCGCTCCCACTCAATTTTTAATCATTCATAATTAGGGTTTTCATTTTATTCATTTACATGATATAATGCATGCAAAACGTCTTGATTTTAATCCAATTAAATTTAGAAAATATTTGGACTTTAAACGATTCACTAATATTTAACTTGAGGCACACTTCAAAAATAATTTACAAAATCAATTTTTCGTTTCCCAATAAGTGCCCTCAAATTAATTAGTAATCTAATCCAATTAATTTTCATAATTTAATTAATATAAATCAAGCCATTTAAATAAATATCATGGATCTAATGCATGAACAATAATAATTAGCAATTAATTATTTCATGCATCACATACAACAATAAATGACAGATAAAGCAAATTAAATGGCCAATGGATTCAGCTTTTAACATTTAAAAACTATTCTTGCTGTACGGGCATCCTTCAACTGTCTGTAAACACCCATAGGAAGCTTGTACGCGTCAGGAGAAGCAAAACGCCGCTTGAAACGAGCCCGGAGGACCTCACACGCGCTGGCACGCGCCTAGGGCAAGCTGCACGTGCTCCCACGCGCTCCCACGCGCCGGCACGCTCCTGGGGCGCGTGTAATGCACACTCACGCGCTCCCACGCGCCTCCACGCGCCTTCACGCGCGTGGAGTTCAAGCTCCCTTGGTTGGCGCGTGCAATGCACGCGCCAGCATGTGCACTCTCCTGGCGCGTGTGGAACACGCGCCAGGCTCACCATCTTGACGCCACACCTGATCCGGGCCACCTCTGACGCCCCTTCTCGCCGCCGGCGAAGCTCCGGCCACCGGAAAAATTCCAAAAAATCCGAAAAAATGCCAGAAAATTAAATTAAGCCTCAAAAAATTCCAGAAAAATTCCAAAAAATTCGGAAAAATTCCAGAAAATTACTGAAGCATAATTTAATCCTTTTGGACCTTCTTGAAGCTTCATAGCATCCTTTGACGAAGATTACATGGCTTTAAAAATATTTACAATTTGAAATACAATGGAAAAAATTAAATTACATCATTGAACTTTCAAACGGCTAAATCAAAGCCTTAATTACATTCATCCAAAGATAAAATTACATTAATTTAACCTATAAGCTTCATCCATGGCCCAACCATACATCATCATTCATTCACAATTATTCATACATCATTATGTATCAATATATATCAACATATTAAATCATACATCAACATACATCAATAAAAATATATATGAATATAATTTTGGATCCATGAATGATGATTTTCATAGAATCATGATCTCTAGTAATGAATTAAACCATGCTCTGATACCACTGTTGGGAAACGTGCTAGTTTTAAAAACTTTTCGAGGGATTTAAATTCATAGATCTTGATTCATCACATAGAGACAAGTTTTATGCAAAAAATAAAATAAAATATGATGTATTATTCAACTAAAAGATTGAATACTTACATCAAGGTTTGAGTAAACCTCAGATCTCTCCTCTAAAGTGAATGTTCTCACTTATTGTAGATCCCTTTTGCTAGACATCTTTTCCATGGATCTCCATCTTCTTGGTAATGGTCTTGCCTTTAGGAATCACTCATAAGCCTCCTTGAATGACCTTGGAAAACTAGGCTTGTGGGAGCCTCCATTAGATGAGAACAAAAACCCTAATTTTCTAGAGAGAGAAAATTTATTCCTTTTTCCTTCTCATAAAAATCACCCCCTAAAATATACATAGACCATGTATATTTATAGGCAACATAAAAATAAAGAAAAGGAAACAACAAATCCTTCTCCATCTCTAATTCATATGTCTCAAATCTAATATGATTCCAATATCAAGTTGGGTTATGAGTGAGAATCCATTGGGCCTATTATTTTATTGGCTACAATGAATTAATAATTGGCCCGGTCCATGGACCCAATTCAATTAATTCATAAATTAATTTCTACTCCACTAAAAGAAATTAATTGAACTCCAATTAAATAATAAATAACCTCTAAGTCAATATAGCACTTTGACTCCTCTATGCATAATTAGTTATCGGATAAATATAGCCATCAATCCGACTACTTAATTAATATATTTATTTTGGTACCTTTGATTATTTCTGGTTCGATCACAATAAAACATTTGTTTGACAAAAATAATAATTTAAATAAATAAATATATAATAAATCATTTTGTCTAAAAACACACGAAGGCCTTCGAATTTACTTTGTGATCAACCATAATCAATACAAAATAAATACAAGTAGCAATGATGCAAATATTGAAAATATAACCCTCTAACTATTAATTACATAACTACCCAAAGTGTCGGTCTAAGGATCCCGAAGAATCCGCCGAACAAATCAAAGTAATTATTAATTAATAAAAGAGTCTATACTTTTCTCATGCTTAAGAGTCACATGACATGACAGTGATAGGGAGTAATTGCATACGACGGCTCTCGCAATATATCTCAACCTAACGCGGATCCAGTTCAAGTCTTAATTAATTATGAGTCCATCCATAATTACCGACTATGAACAATTTATAATTACTATTTATATATCATGCATTGATTGTCATCACATACATATATATAAATATTTCTTGTAATTAACTGGACACTATCAATTTCATAGTGAATTGAAACATAATATATTGAATTCACCAATTATATAAATCATAAATATTTTAGATATGTCAGGAACATATGTCAATACAATCCAGATAGGAATTTGCTATGCCAGGGCATATAAATCCCAACAGAATTTACAACAAAATTGGACAAAGAAGAATCATAAAACACTACATACAAAAACAATAAAGTTAAGAACATCCCCCATCTCCATGGCTAGTTGGAGTTCCCTCGTCCGGCAACAGAGAGTGCCGAGGCTGAGCCAGCTTCAATGTCAACATCACCATATCCATCAACACTCGATGAGCCCGCACTCGCCTTCTCAAAATACGACGAAGCTGTATATGAATGCACAAAATCCTCGAACTCAACACCACCCTTTTTCCTATCATAAGCATCCGGTTGAGCCACCACCTCCGGCAACCCCACCTCCCCTTCCAAGTACCGCACCACCTGCCTCATACTCGGGCGCACGGAAGGCTCATTGTTCGAGCACATCAATCCCAATTTGATCACCACCACAACCTCCACCTCATCATACTCGCCTTTCAACCTCTTATCCACCACATCAAAAATAGCCCCTTGCTTCCACCTATCCCACACCCAATCCACCAAAATCAGCTCTTCAGGCAATGCTTTGGGCTCAATGGGTCGTCTTCCACATACAACCTCAAGCAACAACGCACCAAAAGCGAACACATCGGAGCTCGCCGTGGGCTTCCCCGTCCGTGTGAGCTCCGGTGCAAGATAACCAAGTGTGCCCACCACTCTGGTTGTGCCCGGGTTGGAACCATGTTCGTATAACTTAGCAAGTCCAAAATCACCCAATCTTCCATTTAACTCCGAATCCAACAACACATTACCAGCTTTGATGTCTCGATGAATCACAGTTTGTTCCCATTCTTCGTGTAAATAGAGCAATCCAGAGGCCACTCCTTTGATGATCTTGAACCTCTGTTCCCAAGTCAAAACCGATTTGGTTTCCTCGAAAATGTACTTGTCCAAGCTTCCATTAGGCATGAAATCATAAACCAGTAACAGATCCCCTCGCCGGCGACACCATCCGAGCAACTGAACCAAATTCCGGTGACGGAGCCGGCCAATACTCGCAATTTCCGACACGAATTCTCTCAACCCTTGCTTCGATTCGTGGGATATTCGCTTCACTGCCACTTGGGTGTTTGAATTCCGCAGTGTTCCTCTGTAAACTCTCCCAAACCCTCCAAACCCTAGAAGCTCTTTATCTCTGAAACCCCTTGTTGCTTTCTTGAGCTCTTTATATGAAAATCGATGAGGACCAATATCGAACTCCCAGGCTTCAATCACATCGGCGTTTTTGATCTTTCTGATCAGATACAAAGCCATTCCAATCACAAACATCACCAAAATCGCAGCTGAAACAGAGACACTAAAGATCAACACCGTCTGATCCTTTTTCGGACCGGGAAGCTTAGGAAGTGAAGACAGATCAAGAGATTGAGCTTGTCCATTGATCTTGAAGCTCCATCCGAAGATATAATGAAAGCTCGCAAGCAAACCAGTGGAAGAAGAGAAACCCACATACATCGAGTCCTCGAGATACACAGAGAGATCTACTGGAAATGACAAGATTGATGAACTGGGTTTTGTTGAAGAGAGTGAAAGCGTGACATTCAATAACTTTGTTGCTGCATCGTAGTCGATCCATGCTTGAATTGTCTTCCCACTCTTGAGATTCAGATTTTGCCTCGTCGAATTGCCCTCCGCGAAGTAGCTGGCATTGGCTGACGCGTTCGATGTCATGCTGTTGAGGTTGATGCCGACATGATTGTCACTGATGTCTGCGAATTCGAAGTCTTGGACTGTGTCGAATTCGACTGCGAAAATGTGATTTGTGAAATTTCCATTGTCGCTGGCATTGAGAAGCCCCAAGTACTGGCTTGGGAGAGCACCCGGAAGCCCTTTTTGCGGCGAGATCGTGAAGGCTAAGCCATGGCCGCCGAGCTTGGCATACTCTGGAACTATGGCGAAAGCGAAAGCTGTGGAGAAAGAGAAAGGTGTTCCGTCAATGGAGTTCTTGAACTTGATTGGATTTGGGTAAAACGCGTGACCAATCAATCTGAGGGTGTCATTGGTGAGCTTGAGGATACCGTTGCTCTGTATCTCTGCAACTCCATCTAGAGTTATGTTGTTTCCAACATCTTTGAAACCATTGAAAACGAACTGATCATGCTGAGAGAGAACTGGGCTTGAGAGAAAAAGGATTAATAACCAGAAAAGTAATAGGGTTTTGGCCATTAATGAGGTCAATCTTGAGCTTGTTTCTGGATCAAATGGTGTTGAATTAAACAAGGGTTTTGACTGTTTAGTGTGGTGAGTGATTGTGATTGTGATCGTGAACATGTTTGATACCATTTGGTGTTTTATTAATTAAAAAAGTTGTTGAATCTGATGGGTGGTCGTTGAAGAAGAAGAAAGGAGACATAAATTGGATGGTGGGTTGTAACTTGTAAAGCTTGGTTTTTAGTGCCGTATCATTGCCCTTGTTGTTCCTCTGAATTACCTAGTTTTGCAGACAACACCAATGAAAATTTATCATATTTTTTTTTTTTTTTTTTTTTTTTTTAGAAATTATTGAGTAACTGAGGATAAATTTAACTTCCGAAAAAAGGGCAAAAAAAAAAAAACTGAGGATAAATTTTTACATTTCAGGTCCTAGCCAATCAGAACACAATACAACATTTAAATACAAAAATTAAAATAATTCACCCGCGGGTCATATTGTGATTGATGCTACAGTATTCGGTGTCAGTATTCTATGTAGTATAATATTTTCTAGGTTTATGAAAGACACTTTCAGTATTTGATTCAATTTTTTCATAATAATTTTTAAAAAATAATATTTAAGTTTAGTTTTTAGGTGCATTTTTTAAAATAAAATAATTAAGGTTATTGATAGCCTGAAATGCCTTGAAGTGGGCTCCACTTTAGGCCTTAATAGTTTAGCTGTTTAGCTTTGAGAAGTATGACTAACCCCACGTTAGGCCATCAATGTACTTAATTGTTTTGCTTGAAAAAGTAATTTTAACAAATGAACCTAAATAATACTACTCATAATGTTATGTTTTTTTATTGAAAATTAGAAAAATGATACAAATTAATTATCAGATTGTGATTGGCGGGATTACCAAAAGAGTAGTGCCCTTGAGAGGTCCCTCTCTTGAGAAAAGCTGTGACTAAAAAGAAGAGTTCCTAAGAGGTCCCTCTCTTGAAAAGAGTTATGGTTAAAAAGTCAAATTAATTATTTAATATATTTAAGTTAAAAAAATGAGAGTTTGTAGTTCTTTTCATAATAGAAATCTCCTATAAATATTACCTTACTAAAAAGTGATTTTTTTTTTTTATAAATGATTATTTGTTAATTTCTTACAATGCTCGTAATGGCATTTCTTATGTAAACCCCCTCCCAAAAGAAAAATAAAATAAAATAATAACAATAAAAAAAACACACACACGCACCCTAACTTGTTAAATTATATTTTCACTTGGCAATGTATTTGAAATTAGCAATTTTGTCAAGGTCATCATCACTGTATTTGAACTAAGAGGCAACTGAGTAGAGTCCCATCTGCCCCTATTTGTCTCAAAATAAAAGAACGTAGCAGGAAAATGAAGTCTTGGTTGACAAGGACCACACTAATATCTTTTGCAAATCTGACCTACCCTTAAATATATTATTTTTGGCTCAAACCATCAATTTATATTGTGATTTTCTTTTTTTTGAAACTTTTATCTTATTAATTCAAAAAGTCAACAATGGTCATAAAAAATGGAATATTTGTTTTATAGAGTCTTAGAATAAGAGATTATATTTAATAGCACATATAAACTTAAAAACTAAGTTCCTAAAACAGTCAAAGCAGTCTCTAGGTGCTATCTAGTAAAAAACATAACTGAGATAAAAAAAAATAAAAATAAAAAAACAGATGAATCCACTTAAATTCTAGTGGCATCCGTGTGTCTTAGCTAAGAAAATCAACGAGAATAATTAGTCTCTGACTTTTTGTCGATTCTTTTTCAAAAGAAATTCAAATATTACGGCCCAACAAATACAGAGACGCATACATATTTCGACACAATAGCGACTAAATGAAGAAGGGCAAGGTACTGAAATTTGAATGTTCCATAAAGCCATCTTAATTGTCACGCAGTGGGACGAGTATGTTTGTCCTTGTACTGAACAAACCATGTTCACATGTACAAGTTGCACTTTAATTTTAGGAGAACGTTTCACCTCTCTTACTTTCACGTGTAAAATATTTTTTTTTTATTTACATTTTTTTTTTTTTTTTGAAAAAGAAAAAAAAAATCTAATCAAACCCTAAAAAGAAACCTAATCAAATGTAAATAATATTAAATTTGTATGAAAGTTGATACTTTGCATTTCAATGACATTTCATAGTATTTTTGTAATTTCATGTCAAAATATGAGGTTATTGAGGTCTTTTAATATAAGAAAATGACAACTTAGTCATTTTTAATTTTTTTATTAATGGCAAGAAGTGTCGTTGAGCAAAAATGCTAAATTTCAGAGGAGGTCAAAGTAATAAAAATCAAAGGTTTTGCCTGTTTATAATTTATCTAAATCTCAAAGTAATTTATTTAATACCTCTTTCAATTTTTAGTGATTACAGATCTGACTCTATCTTTAGTGACTCTCTTAGTAGCATTATTTAAAGCTTATTTAATTTCTACTAGAAAGATTGTCTAAATTTAATATTTTATTCTTAAAATAAGTTTTAAAATAATTTAAATATATATAATTTCAGTTTCTGAAAGTCCATGCATGTCAATAGTATTTCAAATTCTCTCCTCGAGAAGGTATATGATTAAAGTTCTAATAGAGGAGGACCACATGAAAGAATTATGGGTACATTCAGTGCATAGATCAGACCCTATTAAGAAAAGAAGAGATTTTTAACTACAACCAAGGTTGGAGTCACGATTTTAATTCAAAAGGGACACAATTTAAATATATATATCAATTAACATTAATATAATACGTAAAAAGATGAATTTTAAGAATAAAAAAAGAATAAAAAAATTGAAATATATTTGAAAGAAAAAAATTAAAGCCTGACTCAAAAAGGAAAATTCAATTTTAAAAAAAAAAATAAAAAATTTAAAACAAAAAAAGAAAAAATTATGATAATTTTAAAAATTAAAAATTTAAGGAGGCATGATATATATGTCACATTGAAACGTTATTCTTTATTTACATTCATCAACTAAATAAGATGTGACCTACATAAGATGTGACGTTAATCACATCATTCTAGAATGAGTTTGAAATCGTTGTCTATGTTTAAAAAACTAAATAAAAGCTGACTTGTACTTTTACTAAGATGAGGACTCCAAACCTTCCAAGTTAGCTTTTACCTATAAAAAAAAATCACCTTCCAAGTTGGCACCCAAGTCAAACAAATTTTGGACTACTAAATCCTCCCAGTGGAGTTATATAAACGACCCAAAGATAGCCAAGGAATGGACCCAGAGTGGAACTTTTCCTTTTCCTCTCAATGATAAAGAAGATAGCGGAGAAAATTTGAAAAAAATAATAATAATAAAAGACAAAAAAAAAATAATAACAAATCTTCTACTCTTCCATAATTAATGTCAAATATTAGTTGTCAACTTGTAATTGATGAGCTGACATCGTACTGATTATGATATAATATAATTTTATATATCTAAAATACCTATGTATGCATATTGAAAGACTTGTTGAGCAAGTGATGTATTTATTTATTTATTTATTAATATATTATACTTTCTTTTGAAATTTGAACAAAATACATATAGGTCGATTGTCGAACATTTATTATTTTTGACTTATTTTAAATTTGTTTGCGCTAGTAACTTTGAATAAGAAAAGTCAATAATGCTTTAATTTTCATACAATGAAAGGGCAATATTTTTATACAATAAAATGGTTGGAGTGTTGTTCAAAAAACTACGCCAAATTTTAGAAAATGTCAAAATAATAAACTTGAACGATATGCTTATTTGTTAAAAGCACGGCCAATTTTAAAAAATATCAAAGTAATAAATTTGAACTGCGGTATGCTTATTTGTCATTTGCTACTTAAATATATATATATATATATATATATATATATATATATATAGACACACACACACGCTATGGCTGGTTTTCCTTGCTAGGTGGTTTATTATATAGTATGGGACCAATGCTATCCAATAAAGTCTACAACCGCCCCAATTTTGTTTGTGAATAACTTGCCAAAGTGTATACGCTGCCATAATGTACAATTGAAATAAGCAACTAAAGGCACTTTTGTGCAAATCTACCTAATTTGAACTGACCATGGTAATCAATTTCTCTTATGAAAGCAAATTTTGAGCACAAGTAAATAAGTATTATATAAATATCATATAAAAAAGGGTAAAATACAAAAAATTCCCCTAAATTTTTAGAGAATCAGCAATTAACCCCCTAAACTACTAAAATTGCAACTAACCCCCTAAACTACACATTTTTGTTGCAGATGACTCCATCCGACACCGTTCCGGTCAGATTCGTCACTATTCCGGTCGGATCTTACCCCACGTGACAGTCACATGACATACACTATAATTTTAATGACCACAATGCCCTTGTAACTGTGAAAATACACTAATACCCCTTTTGTAACTATTAAACCCAAACACCCCAAACAAACCCTTGTTACCTTATTACTGTTGATCTTCTGCAACGTCGAATGATTGAAAAAAGAAAAGACTCACTGAACATATCTCTCATCTCCTCTCTCCCTCCTTCTGTCGATATATATATATATATCGCTCATATGCTTATGTAATTTTTCAATTATAGATTGTTCCGACAATGGAAGAATTTTTAGAAAAAGTGTTCGTCGGAGAAGAAACAATTGACGAAATCGGCTTCAAATCCTATGATAGTTGCTTTCGGAAACACCAATTGTTACACCCAAACACACCCTTATGCTCCATCTGTCTACACACATGACACATACATATAATAATTGTTCACCTTCTTCACGCTTCTGATTTAAAAAAAAACACACACACAGAGGGAACTGAACAAATCTCTCCTCTTTTCTGCTCTCCCTCCCTCTGTCTATATATATATCACTCATGTGCATCTGTAACTTTTCAATTATAGATTTTTTCGAACAAGGGAATATTTTTTAGAAAAAGGCTCGCCGGAGAAGAAACAATTAATGGCTTCATCTTCAAATCCTATGATAGTCGCTTCCAAGAACAATCAACAACAGTGCTTCAGATTTCAAATCCATGATAGTAGTTGACCACTTCCCTAAAGAGAAAAAATAAATACTATTTCAAATCCTCTAATTCAATCCTCATTTGTTTGGACCCCTCTGTTTTCTTATCAAAATGAACCATCCATAAGTGTTTCACTACAGATTCCACTAATTTACACATCAAAGTGGGTATCAAGAAAAAAACACAATGAAGCAAGAAATTAACATATAATGTGATGGGTACATATAATATGTTGTTGTTTAGACCGTGCTGTTGTTTGGACCTGCTTAGATGTACTGATCAAAATGGGTTTCTAAAGAGAGAGATGACT